TCATTGAAAATATATTGATGTTTAAGTTTATTAAAAATGAGATATTAGCAATAGAAGTACCATCGGGAATAAATTAATATAAATTATCAGTAAGTTCTAATTTTTACCAGCTCTATATACCCTTCGTCATCAGGAATTCCAGGTATAATAAAAAACACTCACAGGGACCAAAGGAGCCGAAGCAAGAGATCATAATAATGGGAAATCTTGAAGCCAAGGATACGCGGCAGGATACCTGCCAAGTCCTGTTTCCCCCAGCCCCAGCCGCAGGACCAAAACCGGAATGCGTAAGGCGATTGCATCATAAATTCTGCTGATGCGGACCCTACCATCATATAAAGTGAATCATCCGAGCGAGCCGCTTGAAATGCAAAAGGAATGCCCAAAGAAAATAAATAAAAATTAACCCATTTGCATATTATTCAGTGAGCGGGCGAGAAAAGGACTCAGCTTTGGCTGACAGGCGGGGTTAAGTTAAGATCCCAAAGATTTTCGAAAAGCGTGCAGAGGTGGAATCATACAAAACAGAAGGGATTCACTGACAAAGGATGAACTGACATACACTAAAATAAACATTTAACATTTGTGAATGTGGATCCAACACGAAACATTGGCTACTATTCCATTTTCATTTTAAGTCCGTTCTTGTTGTAGTAATAGATTTTTACTTGCTACTTTGCCTTTCATTTAACCACTTAGTGTGAAGATATAAATATAAATAAATAAATAACTTAAAATAATATATTATTTATTTAAATACAAGTTATTTATTACAAGTACCTTTTAAAAATAAAATCAAAATCGTAGAGTAACTCAGAACTGGCAAATGTTTATTTTTCCAAGAGTTGTCAGTATATCCTTCGCGATCTGAGAAGGGAGTCTGAGGAAAAAGGTTGTATGTGGCGTGATTAAGTGATGGACATGTATGGACACATGCAGCGTTATGTTTAGCATACACAAACGGGCTTCGGAAGGGAGGAGGTCCGCATGTAAATATGTGGGGGAGCAATGGAGGACGCCCACCGGCGAGTCCTTGCGCTTTTAATCATAAATAACAATGGACACATGGCGGCGGGGGCCCGGCATTTAGCTTCATCCAACAAAAGCCTTCCGCCCGACAACACGGAGTTACCCGCAGCCGGTGGTCGTGTTGACCAAGGATATACTCATACCCAGTACTCGTAGGCATAAAGGTTATATAAAATATTGTATAGTTTATAAGAGCTAAAATAATTATGCAATTTTTGAATCCTACAATATTCACAGAATTGGTAATCTATTTAAATATTTGTTGTTTTTTTTTTGCAATAATATCAGCCAATATGTTATACATCTTAAATTTATTAAATCATGTTCATGTATTATTGTTCTATAACTTTTAATTCGACGAATAAACTCCATCAGCGGGTATCTTCTAGCCGAAGTACAAAATCCTGCCTTCTCCCCTGTTTTTATTAGGTATCTGCGCGGGTGTGTGAGTGTGTTTGCCTGTTGATAATCCTCCGTCCACTGTCCAAGGACCCCTTCGTACGCCCAGTTGCCAGGCGCTTTAATTTCCGCCTCATGGACGCCAAACATGCCACTCTCTTTCGGCCTGTCCGTCCGTGAATTCATCTGCCGCCCGTCTGTCCGTACGTCTGCCTGTCCGTCCGTTCGTTGCGCTTCATGGGCTGACCAGGACTTCGCTAGTTGGGTGTCCGTGTCAGTGTCCTGTTCAATTTTTTTCGCCCCGACTCCGTGCCGACCAAAACCAAAACACTGCGCAGTTGCCGCCCGAGGCGGTTGCTCTGTGTGCGGAATTTTGATATTAATAGCCTTGGACAGTTTTATAAACGCCTTTTGGGGTTAACATGCTCAAGTGGTATTCATATTTTCCACTGACCGACCTGTCACTATTGTGTGCGTCAGAACGACCCCAGCAAAATGTGAAAATAAAACGCAACCGAGGGGAGGTCTCTATTGGATCGGCTCGGATTGGACTGGAATGGATGGGGCTAAACTGGGCCGGAGTAAGTAATGGGAAATGTGTAGGTAACGAAGTAAGTAACCAAGGCACTTATTTGAGATGCTTTTAGCTTTATGTAGGTAAAAAACTTCCCATTTCTTAAAGTTTTATTTGTTGTGCTCTTTGCATTTAATGTTGGGAAATTTAAAAAATGTTTATTGTTCAACATTTTTTTACTCATTTATTTCGTTTAAGAAAGTTAAGGGAGAAGGATTAAATGTATTACAAGAGATTATTGCATTTAATTTTTGCTAGTTAAATTCCCAACACACCAGGTATTGTGGTATTCAAATAAAATGCAACAAAACAATTGTTCTGATATCACCCCCACAATACAATCCTATATCCGCCACTGCCTTGAGTTATATTATTTTTATAAGCCGAACTCCCTGATAACCAAAATTGTTGCTGCAGGACTGGTTGTTGCTTTAAAGGCTTTATGATTAAGATCAGCTCTTGAACTCAGCCGCAACATATGTAACTTCTCAGGATTTCCACGGCAACTTTCCGCTTTGGGCTTCGTCCTGGAGTTTCCTTGACGCACTGCGCAGTTTCCTCGGATTTTCACCCTCCTTTGATTGAATTCAAAGCTGGATTACAGGGGGAAGTACAAAGCGTTGGGATTCTGTTCTGAAGGAGGGTTGCTTTGGAGCGAAAGACAATCGCAGTTTTCCTTATTGCGTCGCAGCTGAAACTTCGAATAGCCATTTTCCCGATGGGAGTTCCATTTCGGTGGAAAACTGCAAGCTCTGCCGGTGGTACAGTCATCCCTGGCACGGTGCGTCCGTGTTCGCTTCCTTCCTTCCGGGCTTCCCACCCCGCCCCTTTGCTCGGCCACTTCCTTGCGAGTCCTGCGCAGCATAAATTACGCAATTCACTTTGGAGTCCTTTTTTCATACCCTTTGTTCGTTTAGCAAAAAGGGAATACTGAGATACAATACCTAAGTTTATGGTTAAACTTTTTGTTTTCTTAAATGATATATTTGTTAAAAAATTATATACATTTTGGTAATATGGCAGGAAAATATTGTAATATTAAGTAAAATTAATAACCAATAAATATTTTTTCTTGTACCAAAAAATCAAAAAAGATACACAATAAATTTAATAAAAATATTTAAATTAGCGTCGAATTTCTCGTTGGTCCTTTTTAAGGGACTTGAAGTAATACAAGTTCAACCTTGTTTTATTATTGTGAATTTAAGAAAGTCAATGTAAAGGGTATTTTATGGTAGAATATGAGAGTCCGTGAAAGTTCCACAACTCCTTTTTTCAGCTTTTCCTTGCCGCTGCCTCTGTTTGTTTGCAGCGACGCAGTTTGCGTTGTTGCTTATGATTTATGTGCCGCGCGTAGCGATGACACACACACACGCACGTCGAAAGGACACTGCTGCAGTTGAAAAACACCCCATACCAGCATACCACCGTCGTCAGCACCCATTTTCCTTAACCACCTCCTCCTGAATTTTCAAGAATTACACGCAAATTGCACGCAACACGCGAATCGGGCGAAGTGGTCGCGTATGGAAATGACGCGGGAATGCCACTCATGCGTTCCGTTTCGTGGGCCTGGGCCTGCATGTGCGATAGTTCTGTCACAGGCCCCGTATCCGGCACTCGGAACCAGAGCCAAGAGTCCGTAGTCCGGAGTCCAGAGACCGCAGTAAGAACTCCCCATCCTGGCCCCACACAAAATCCGTGGCATTAAGTCATGCGTCATCCTTGGCAGGGACATGCGTGTAAGCCGGTTATCGCCCGAAAAGCCTGCCAGCAGCAGCAGGACACTTTAAATATCTTTATGCATACCATAAATATGTTCTTAAATGTTAATCCTTAAATACCGGCCACCCAGAGTCCTTCCACCCAACGAAATGCGTCACAGTCCCAGGAATATGAGTCAGCCTAAAATGCTAGGCGAAACTCTAGGAAATGTTGCGGTTGCGGTAAATGGACGGGCCAGGAGATCAATCACTCGAACCGCTCAGGTTTTAAGGACATTTTAAATATGTGTTCTCGAACTAAAGGGAATAAACTAAAACTGCCTGACATAAGGTTTATTCGTTTCTTTTTTTCCCATGTAACATTTGCCCCTTCTTTTCGTAATAAGAATCAACCGCCCTTGTAAATCCGAATTTTATCCAAACCTGTTAGTTGATTGGTAGTCATTTGTTAGAGCCCAATTCGCGTTAAAATGCTTTGCTTGTTTTCTTGATTGACGGAAATTGGGGAAACCAGTTTGGTATCCATGAGAAAAGTCCATAAATGGGTTTACAAGATGGCATTGAGTTTTCGTGATTAGTTCAGAGAGCAGATCAAATGATCTGATTAAAGCGGTCAAATTTGTTCAAAGAATTGTTGGTCGAACAGGAATTTCATTTGCCCTTTTCATTATACCCTTGTAGAGGGTATTATAATTTCAGTCAGATGTTTGCAACGCAGTGAAGGAGACGTTTCCGACCACATAAAGTATATATATTCTTGATCAGCACCAATAGCCGAGTCTATCTAGCCATGTCCGTCTGTCCGTCTGTCCGTCTGTCCGTCTGTCCGTCTGTCCGTCTGTCCGTTTCTATGCGAACTAGTCTCTCAGTTTTAAAGCTATCGCGATGAAACTTTCCCGAAGGTCTTCTTTCTATTGCAGGTAGTACATATGTCGGAGCCAGCCGGATCGGACCACTATATCTTAAGGCTCCCAAACAAATATAAGAAAATTCATTGTAACTTTGTAGGAAGTAGGCGTTTTGATTCTTGACTACTTAAAAACAAAATTGAAATAAATCGAAACGCTGAATCTGGAATCCCTGGAACTGCACCGAGTGAGTATTCTTTTATCTACAAGGGTATATAAGCTTCGGCTGGCCGAAGGTAGCTTCCTTTCTTGTTTTTAGCTTGTATTTCTCCTCAGAAATATAAAATAAAACTGCTCATGTCGTATATTAGTTTTAGAAAATATTGTTTTAATTTCAATTTTAATTTAAATCGTACGTGACCTATTTTATTTTATTCCAATGCGTGACACAGCATGATATGTCAGCATATTCAAGCGGCCTTGCAAAAGGATCTCGTCAATTCCTTTTTTTGCATACAGCTGCTGCTCCTCGGACAACTGCCGGAACATCACCGCCCATCCTTCTGCGAATATGTCGGCGTCATCTCTAGTTTTTTTCGTGGTCAAATTTTCCAAGTTTGCCACTGCCTTTTTGTCTTCATCATGTTTGCGTTTAGGCGCCGCCTTTGCCTAGAAAACAAATTTTCGATAAATTTTAATTATATTTATTTAATTATTAATTAATATTATTTATTTGCTGACAATAAACAATGGTTTTAATATTGAAAATACTTACCATTTCAATTTCTGGGCCGTCATCCTCATCGAAAGTGTTGATTTCATCCAGGAAACTCAATTCCTTGAAGTACCAGATGCTTGGCTGATAAATGTCACCCGATTTTTCGCTTCTTTTTATTTTTTTCGACTCGCGTCTGTAAGTCGCACGCAGCGAATTCACTTTTTTCTTCACCGTATCGATGGTCGCTTCTGGATCATTTTCTTGTAGTTTATGCAATAGCATTTCCCATCCTTTGTTCCGCATACTCTTGTTCTTGTACGCCTCACTGTTTGCCTGCCACAGAGCGGGCTCATTTTGCAGGCAAAATATGAATTCAGTTAAAAACTGTTTCGACATTGCGCCACGTGTTGTCTGCGCGGAAATTTTTCTCAACAGAATGTTCGGGCGAACATTGCCCATCCACTGTCGAGCTGGTTCGCACAAACACAGCCAAGATAAAATCGTTTCTGACGAACAAAACGACGAACGCGAACACTTACTAACTAAGACAGAGGCGTAGCTAGGTTATTGTTGAGGGGGTTTTTAAGATCAAATTTTGTGTTGCCCAATTTTTAAATCTATATTTTCATAGGCTTTCACCTGAAAAAAGAGGGTTAATACCCAAAAACCCCCTCTGGTTACGCTCCTGCCACGAACATTGAATTGAACCGAACATGTTCGTCAAACAAAATCGACTGTGGAACGCCTGACTTTAATGATTTTATAGAATATCCAATGTTTCCCTAAATACTTTCAGGGTACCTTAAAGTCAAGCTGGCCTCGCTGACCTCAGCATCAGCTGTTTGGAAATTGCAATATTTTATTTTTCATTTTTTATGGCTCAGTTTGCTTTTTTGTTTGGCATTGTTTTGACAACTTTATGGGGGGAGGAGGCGAAAACATTTAATATATGGCGCCGGGCGTAGCCGCAACTCACTTTTTAATCACTTTTCATGAGCTTTTAATTACACACTTCTTGTTTGGGTTGTGTCGGAATGAAATTTATGAAAAACCAAACGCATAAAATGCTTAACAAGCTCCTGCTGCCCGACCGCAGGACATACATACACGGGCAGATATTCGTAAAAATAAAATGGGAAAAGTGTGTGTATGTGTGTGTGCAAAAATAAAATAAAAATATCCCCACTCATTTCCGTTATAATAATGTGTGAAAGGATATTAATTATGAAACAAGCGAACGGCAGGAAGCCCGGGCAATAAAAACAGCAAGCGACAGGAACACCATGCGTGACCAACAATAACAACTACAGGAACATCACAAGCGACAACAACAATATATGGCGACTCCGGTATATTGTATTTTATGTGAGTGGGTGGGGGTACACGGAGAGAAATCCCCAACTTTGAACATAAAAAAAATGTATTTGGGAAAATTTAAAATATTTAATGGCATTTAGGCTTTAAAAATATAATTTAAATTATTAAATATGCATATGTACATATTATTTTTAATATAAATATTGTGGATTTACTTTTTTTCAAATTTAAACATATTTTATTATTTTATCTAACAACTATAATAATTTAATTATTTTCAGTGTAGAGTGGGCGTCGATGGTGGGTTAGATGAGGTGAGTTGTGCCGAATTGTGTTGAGTTGGGCGGAGCGGAAACGGGAGCAACATGTGCAACATGTCGAACGGAAGTGTCGGCCATATTCCACACACAAGCACACACGCACAACCACCTAAATAGGCCCACGTCGCACACACACAAATTATGTGTCCTGGCCAAGTAGATTTTTATGTAATGTCGGTCGGTTATTGCTTTCATACATTTATTTTATTTACCCAAACCCCACTACAAAAAACTCCCACACAGCCAAGCGGATTTAATATATTTGAAACTCCTTGTTTGGTACACTCTGTGATCTTTGTTTTTAAATTAAGTTGCACAACATGAACCACAATCAAAATATTTAGCTTTGAATATTATAAATCTTTTCATTATAATTATAATATCACAAATGACTTTTTGAATGTGTTTAATTTGTTAAAATCATTACAAAGGTATCTACTATTTAGGTGCTTAATTTTAGTAAAAATATATGCTGAAAAATAAATAATTTATTTTCGTGCAATAAGTTTAAATTTATTGAAGTTATTTGTTAAGTGAATAAAAATACTAGTATCCCACAAACACGTAAAAATACTCTTCCTTAATTATTTTTATTTTTTTACTTTAAGCCATTTAAAAAAAGTTTATTTTTCCCCATAGGAAAAGAACATCCCAGTGTCGTCGTTCAGTTATTAAGTTGAACATTTTTTGTCCTGCACTTCATGTCCAGTCATCGGAGTCAGTCAACCAGCCGGTGGCCCATTCAGCCAGACATTCAGACATTCATTCAGTCTGCCAATGACAGGACCCTCTGCGGCGGCAACTGTCGTCCATCAGAGCCGTGCGTCAGTTGATCACGTTGCCGCTCCACGTGACGATGACAGGGACGCCGGAATGTCAGACTGCCGGAATGCCAGAAGGCCGGACGAAGGGCCACACCCCCTATTTGCCAACTTCCCTTCTTGCCAGCTCCATGGCCTTCCGCCCACCGTCATGTCCTGCGGCTCCTGCGTGTAATTGCCGTTGTAATGTCGCCCGACGCGAATATAATTGCTAAAATGTTGCATAAACCGACAGACGTGCCAATGGCCAATGCCCAGGACTGCGACTCCCTCTTCCTTCAACTCCGGCCCAGAGTTCAGGTCGCCGCGACGACACTTTTCCATTTGAATTTAATTTTAATTTACGCCCAACGGCCGGCGCTTCTGCTGCTGCTCGTGATGCCCATTGCCATTTTCCGGAAATTGGCAACGGCAATGGCCAGAACATTCCGCATTCCGGACGTGGCTCCTGGCTTCTGGCCTGATACTTGGATATACACGCGGAATAATAAAAGGTTTCTTACGCAAAGCATTCTTGATAAACAAAAAAAAAACTCTGACAAAACTTTAAGAAATATATAAAAATACACTCATAGAAATTTTTACCTAAATACTAGAAAAGTCGCCCTAAAACCGAGGTCGCCCTAAAACTACGGAAAATTTTCTTATTATACGGGTGGCTAGCCCTAAATATACGAAAAATCGCCATGAAAAATATTTTTTAGGGTTGGTTTTTTCAAAAAGGCAAATTTGTCCTGTTTTTTAGGGCGAATTTTTATGAGTCGACTCCAAAAGTAATTCCTTCTTTTTAGGGCGAAATCGCCCTAAAACGCAGAACAAAATAGCCAAAAATATGTTCTGAAATTGCCCTAAAAACAAGGAAGAGTCAAACGAAATTCTAAGACGCAATTAATGGATACATATGTAATATGTGTGTATGTGTGTTGGCAGGTCAAAACAAGTGAATGTGTGTGTATATTAGGGCGGACCTTTTTCTATGAATTTTTATGCTGAGCGCATTTGACTTTAGAGAAGTCCACCCTTTTTCTTCTTCTTCGCTACTTTTCGTCCGTTGCAGTGCCAAGGGTGGGGGTAGAAAGAGTTGGATTGTCTAGACTTTGTCATAATTTTTCGGGCGCTTGGCAGTGAAAGACGTGTTTGTATGAAACCTTTTGTTTGTGAAAAAGTGAAAAATGTAAACGCTATTAAAGGACTTGGGAGGCGATTCTTTCTCAGTTTTCTGGTGAGTACATACATATATAATTGTGCAATTTGGATATTAATAACTAATTGAATTTACATATCTGTAACAGAGGAAAATGCAGCTGAAACTTAAAAAGATTTGACTGGAAGCAGCGGTCCAGATGTAGAGGTTTGGAAGTGTGGCAGAACAAAGTAAGAACATTAACAAGAGTATACATATATGTATGTGTATATGTAAATAATGCTTAAGGTAAAAAGATGATGCAACAGAATACACACATTTTTTACAGATGTATATATTTGCCAGAAATCTGTATTTATGCACCGGACAAACCGCATTCACAAGTGCATATGCCAAAATAACCCCCAAATTTCTATTGCGTCATTTCGTCAGTAACCGAAATTTGCTTTTGTTGCTTCTTTTTTTCCAGAAGTAGCAGAAAACGCAATCGCAGGCTAAATGAAAATTTTGACTGTTAGTAGTGCATTTTTATATTAATTTCTAACAATTTTTTTTCTTGTTTTAGATTGAGAACGCAAACCACTTTTCGCACTTTTTAAAAGCGAAAGTAAGGGAATAAAACTGCTCAAATCTTTGGAAAGCCACGCTGAAGGTATGTGCTTTTTCTCTTTTTCTTTTCTCATTCAATAAACAGACTGTTTTTATTTAATAGAGATACAATCAACTTTAATTTGGCTTGCGATCCATTCAGTGTTGGTGCGACAGCAATGACAAAGAAGGACGGCGGGAGCAAGAACGCGAAGCACACCATTGCGGACCCGCGAAGCCGTTTCTTGGTTTGGAAGGCTACTGTTGGGGAACTGCAAACACATCTAAAGGCATTGACGGAAAATTGCAAATCCGGAAAGCCGAAACTGCAACCATTCAGCTGCAACGTGGGAACAAGCCCTTTTTGACCTTGGTGAATTTCCAGTTTACCTATCAGAGGTTTTTTTATAGAATGCGAACCTTATTGAAAAGTATTGATGTGTGCTTCAAAATATTTTTTTGTTTTAAACCACCATTTATCCAAAAAATGTTTTATGAAATTCATTTAGAGTCTGATAAGAAAGGTAGAGCTTTATCCGAACTCTTGGAGGATTATAAAACCTTAAAACTGTAACTATTTTAAAGAAACAATCTGTTCATTCCAAAAAAAATATTATTTCTATGCATTCAATTAGAAGTAAAATTTGATAATCAGTACTTATTGTAATAAACCTTAAAAGACCTAAAATTCCCTCCGGCGGAAGCACACAACCTAAAGACCAAAAAATACATTAAGCCAAAACATTATTTTTAAGATCGATGTAATTCTTTTAGCAATAAGAATAAGTAGAAAAGTATGTAAATGTATATAATTAGAAATTGTGTAAATAACAACAAACAAAAATATAAAAAAAAAACAAAAAAAATATAATGAAATCGTATTTTTATTTATAAAAAAAAACCGGGAAATTTTGGGGAGCACTTTGCTTTTTTTAGGGCGATACGCCTATAAATCCAGAAAAACGCCCTAAATTTATGAAAATCTGCCTTTAGTTTCAGGATATTTTTTCATATTTCTAGGGCACTTTGCCCTAAAATCCAGAAAAACACCCTAGATTTATGAAAATCTGCCTTTAGTTTAAAGGTATTTTTTCCGATTTCCAGGGCAATTCGCCTATAAGTCCAGAAAAAGCGCCCTGGATTTAAAGGAAACTGCCTTTAGTTTAAGGGTCTCATTTCCTATTTTTAGGGCAATTAGCTTTGAAAATAGAAAAATCGCCCTAGATCTACGAAAAATCGCCCTAAATGTGTGACAAATTCACCCGTATTTTTAGGGCAATTTGCCCTAATTTTGTTGCCTAGTCGCCATTGACCCCCGTTTTAGGGCGATTTTCCTTGTTTTTAGGGCGATTTTACCGGAAAATTTCTATGAGTGTAATTTTAACGGATTCTCAAAATATTATTGAAGAAATATTTGATAGTTGCAGGCTCAGAAAAAAAAAATTTATTGTATTTTTGCTTTGATATTTTGTATCCCTCTATACTTAAGGAATAATATCAGCCTTTTCTTATTTGGCGATATTTTTTTCCGTGCACAGATGAAGCTAACAGTGGCAATGCGGTTCTGGCCACGACTCTGACCAATTTCGAAAGGGCTGTCCGCACCGTTGAGTTAATGAGAAGAGACAGAGGTCGAAAGGAGAAAAGGGCGAGAGTAAAGGATAGATGTGGAGAAGGAAGAAACCCGTCGACAGGCATTTTATGTGCAACCGGCCGAAATGTTAGAAGAACAGCCAGTCTAATTGAAGCGGCCTCAAGCAATTAGTCAATAAAATGCAGCAACAAAAGTGCCAGATTGGGAATTATATAAATTTACAATACCGTAGTTAAATATAAAATAAGTTATGGCACTCGAAATTTAAAAAGAAACTGACCAAGTAAAGTTATTGAATTTTCCCTATCAATATTTGGAATTTGTATAGCGATCCTAACATTAAATGATACAATTAGTATAATTAGCTAATATCCATTTGCGTTTCTCTAGATTTGCTCGCGCTTACCAATTATAGCGAGTTAAAGTTTACTACGGCTTACGATGTTTTGCTATGGTTTTCTATGTTTTACTATGTTTTACCATGGTTTACTACGGTTTACTATGGTTTACGATACTTTCTATAGTGTCACTTTAGTACCTCGGGTTCATACCTACCTTACATTATCAAATATAAAAACATTTATAATTTAGGTTTAGTTTACACAAAGTGTTTAATAGATAAGCCCCAAAATAACCATAACCATAAGCCCCAATAATCCGTTTTAATTACAACCAAAGTCGTGGTCTAAAAATGAACCATATCTTGGCTAATGAAAAAGTTTTCCCATATTAATTAGTAACCCAAATGCCCTATCTATTCCGCAGCTCCGAATTTTCCATCCGGAGTGAATCAATGTGGGTTTTTTATGGAGCCGCTTTAGTCATCGCCACAGTGTCTGGGGGTCTATGAGTAATTTTCCGCTGGCAAAAATCGTGCTCCCGAGGGCCTACTCATTAAGTGCAGAACGGGGGAATTAACAGAGAAATAAATATAATAAAGAAATAAAGATAATGCATGAGAAGATGACGCCGAGCGCAGAACTGGAAACCGACCGATTTGATGAAAATAATTTTCCAAATTTGGCAAAACTATTAACCACGCTACGTTAATTTCATTAGCAAGTCTGTCTTTCTTGTTTCGGTGACCGTGTTTCTGCAGCACACACCCCGCGTACAAATAAATCGCAGCCATTAAATGCGCTAATTAGTTGGTCAATTAGCGTATGCTTACCGGATTGTTTTTGGCTCTTTGTTTTGCCGGCCAAAAGAGGACGGCTTTTGGGTGGCAGAGGGTCAAAATCGGAGTCACCATCGGCTTTTGGACGTCAGCGGCTCGGCTCGATCGCCCAACTGTCGCCACATTAATAAATCAGTTTAAATTAATTCAGTTGACAGCTTTTAGTCAATATTGTTGATAAATTGTTTTCTTTTAATTTCGGTTTTTTTGGCTTTAGGCTTTTGGTTTTGGTTTTGGCTGTGGCTTTGGAAACCTGCAGCTGTTGCCAAGGGGGAATGGAACACTTGCTGGTCATTAACAGCATTTGATTTTTGTTAATTATCTCATTTTGGGGCCATAATTCATCAATGCAGGTTTATAATGGAAAATAAATCGAAAATCTATTGTTAATAATTTATAAATATTTACGATTATTTTCTCGAGTGGCATGGCTTCTACAAAAATATTCTAACTCATAATTAAGCAGGAGGGTTTGAATCAAATTTATTCTGAAAGTTAGGATCAGCCTATCAACAATCCTGCTCATTTTCACTTGCTATATAATCTCAAACAAATAAAGGAAGTCTTAGAAAGCAACAACTAAATTCCCTCACTCTTTCTGGTCTCGCTGAGGACTTCACTCCAGGACATGCTGACTGAGTCCTGATCATCCTGGTTTCCGTTCTGGGCCCTCTCCGATTCAGCATTCTCGAATTCGGCTAGTTTCTGAAGACGCAGCTCCATACGGCGTTCCAGTTCCTCAGCACTACTCGGTTTCCGGGTGATGGGAGTGTCCCTGCCGAAAAAGGACGATTCACTGGGCGCCCAGGGGGGAGATTCACCTTCACTGGAGGGCGAATCAATGGCACTGAGGTCACTGACACTTGCTGAATAGTGAGCGGAGTTCACATCGAATTCGCTGCTGGATACTGGAGTAAAATGGGCATCGCCACCCCCCTTTATTGGGGTCTGCGGATCTTGATTTACTTTTATCATCAAGCAGCGACCACGGCACTTGGGCTTTTCGAGCTTAAGCAGCCCTATCAGATCCTCACGGGAATCCATCTCCACGTAGGCAAATCCCTTGGGTCGCTTTCCCTTTTTTGGAATAGTTAGGGAACGGACCGCAAAGTTGGTAAATACCTTGTTCAACTCCCGCTCGGTGCACTCCATTGGCAAATTGCTGACCATTGCCACATAGGGTGGACTATCTGGCACTTCCTCGTCCAAATCGGGTTCATTTACCTTCTTCTGCAGATCTGAATATGATTTCGTAAGTGGATCTTTGTGGAAAAAGAACTGGGGTTCGTCCGCCTCAGAAGTTTGCACCTGGGTCACGTGCAACATGTCCGCCAAACTTTGTCCCGATTCACTACCGGAAATGGAGGATACGGACGAGGAGCCAACAGGAGGCAACTTGGAAATCCGTGACGACTTGGACATCGCCACAAAAGACAACAGTTAAAAGGAAAAAATATATTTTTGTAGTTGTACCTTCGTGTCTGCCTCTGTTTTTTTAGCTTTTAACTGTTGCAGTTTTCTGAATTATAACGCAAAGCTGTTTTCGTTGTACTTTTCTAAGAAAATGAATAACCAGATCTTGGGTTTAAAAAAATCCAAATCCAATCTAGATTTTTCTAGTGGTATACATTTTTTAACACATAACACATAAACAAAAATAGAAAAATTAGCAAATTATTTTTAAACTTTTAATTATGAAACTCGTTTACTGGTTTACAGACTTACATAGAACGTGCTAATTTATACAAAAACGAACCAAAATATAATTTTAGAATTGAAAACAAAGGAATTAAATGTTATATTTAAAAAACTTAAAGGTTTCTTATGTTTTTCTAGCTTTACTAACCTAAATAATGACCTCATAATCTTGATTGTGAGCTTTGTTTCGTTACTAAATATAGAAGCCATTTATTGATTTTGTTGTTAGGAGCATTCTGTGCTATCCATTTATTACGCCAATATCTAATTATCAGTAAAATCTTGATAGAAAGCACAGATGACTTTACATAACCAAGAATTAGACCAATCAAAATAATTTTTAGCGCCTTGATATCTTTCTGATCGCTACCTTTCGGGTACTGTACATTCAGAACTCGTGTTGATGCACCAGCTAAAGTGCTAGATTTAATATTCCCAGGCCGCGATCTCATTCAGCACCTGCCCCATAGATTCAGTTTCAGATATATATCGACCATCGACCAGACAAATGCCAAGGTTCGCGGATCCCAACTGACAACTCTCGGAGTTGGTTGGAAAATATCAAAAGTTCAGCAAACAAATGGCATGGAGTTGAGTTTGAGTTTGGCTAATGCACGGATTGTGTCGTTTTCTGTTTGCTGTTTGCTAGTTTGGTCGGCTTGTTGGGTTTGTTGGGTTGGGCTGAAGCGAGAGGATGGAAGGAGGTTTCCACATTAGGCAACTGGCAACGGGCTACACCCATATTTCGTGGAAAATTGGGTGCGTTAGCCAAACACAAACTAAGGTAAACTGATAAAAATCATGGCCTGCAGCCTGAGTGCCAGTACGAGTGGAGTTTGGGGCCAAGTAACCGACTGAGTGCGACTGCTAGAGGCCCAGGGGCCTCGAACCACAGCCACACTCGTAGTACGTGTCTGGGACCGGGCATTACGAACAGACAGGCTAAAATATTGGGCCAATTATATTTCAAAAATTTACATGGCGATGAAGTTGACGATGGCTGGGTCATCTATAACCCAAGCCGCAGTGACAGAGACCCACTGAAAAATAAACATGTCTCTTACATTATATGTCTAAGCAATTGAAGATTCTTTTGAGCCTAACCTTTGAGAACATATTTATAAAACTAAAAATTTTATTTTAGGGTACTACAAAATTTAATAATTTATTTTACAAATAATTTGTTAATTTTATTCAGTTTAAATCAACCTCAATATTTTTCCAAAAGCGAGAGCATCTCCAATGATAAGAAAATTAGTTTCTAGTTCGCAGCAAGACCATTTTCTAATTATAATTAATATATTATGAAGGTATATCACTTTAAATATTAAGAAATTATACAAAAAACTAAACTTTAAATCCTTCTTTCAGTGCAAGTACAGTGTGTACACGAATGAAGCGTCAAGTGGCCTCTGCCCCCACTTTTTCCCAACAGTATCTTGATGCTCTCGCCGTGGAACGTGCACCGGCATAAGTCTAGTGTCTGGAGAGCTACTCGTATCTGGGCTCTAGGATCGCCTTCAGCTACACGGAATTCTCTTTTCTTTTCGCTTAATTTCATAGGAACGGTCTGAATGAAATGTGTGAGGGGCGTATGGCAAAGGTGCAGCGAAGGTAATTAATTTCGAGGATTAGGCATTTGATTTTGGCGATAGCAACGTGTCTCCATAATTCTCATATCGAGGGGCCTGACGAACACGTCCACAGACCCTATCTTCAGCCCATCTTGATGGCTCTGGGGTTTTACTTTTACGCTGTGTCTTCTTTGTGGGTCACCAGAGGGCACAACACATTGAAATTAATAATTGGATAGTTTGTATGGTTTGCATTAGGTGTAAACAACTTTTTTTTGAGCTGCATAGAAATTATCTACCATCTAATAATACCAAGAAAATGGAGGGTAACATTAATATTAAATGTGTATGATATATATTCACAAAAATTTAAATTGGCCATTCATAACTAATCATAGGTACGTTATATTTTGAATGTGTTAATTAGCTTCAGTAAACACCAATGCCCCCAAACTCATCAAATGCTAAAATACCTCCGAAACATGAACGAAAACAAAAATTTTAATTTCTTGATTGTTTTCGGTAATTGAACCCATTCAAATAAACGGGAAATATTAAAACCAACAAACCACTAATTATAATACCTAATCAGCGTTTTCTTTCACCTCCATTTATTTATTTTGAGGGAAACAAACTACCCCAAAACCCCAACTCAGTCGATCCAAAAGCCAAATTCAAAAACCAATGCAAAGCACACACACCCGAAAAGTGTTCCACATGACAGCGTGAATAATTTGTCACCAATTGACGGAAACCCGAAGAAGGGGCGGTGCCAAAATGAAAACCGTCATCAGGTAAATGCAATTAGCCCCGACTTCGGTTTGATTGATGTATTTCGAATGAGCTGCGCCAGGAAAATTAATTAGCTTTAAATTATGTTGGTAGCCAGAAATCTGGAGAGCCGGTGCTGCTGGCACACCCAAAAACGTTCCCCGTTCTATTCGGGGCTGCAAATAAGCTCGAGCACCTTATTAATTAATCAATTGGCTTCGGCAAATTGTCTCGATTGGAGCAATTATCGTGATTTGGTTAAAGACAGCTTGTGGTCAACTGCAAAATGTTCATTAACGGGTTCAACAATGTGGATAAATAAATGTTTATGCTTCGGTTCTTAAGTAGTATTGATTAGGCTATCTAAACCGAAAACCAAACTGAACTGAATATATGCTATTTAGATTCAAAAATATCTTAATAAGATGAGTTATAAATTAATACTTTCGGAAGTATTAAAATTAATTAATTTCGGTAAATGTAATATTTGTAGGATATATTATTTAGTATTAAATCTATACCACTCTTTAATACTCTTTAATACTTATTCTTTTTAACCCAACGAGTAGGTACTAAGAGTTTTTGAATTTTTTATTTCGGTTTAAATATTGTTAGTTTCGAAACGTAAGTTTTATAAATTATTATAAATGCATCAATAATATTTTTCTCCATAAATATATCCCCTAATTTGTTACCGCTGAGATATAAAAATATTAAGAACTTATCATTGGCAATTTATTTTCCCTTTCCTTGACACAACACATCGAATTTCTTCAAATTCTTTATTTCTGCCACCCCCGTTTTGTAATCTTTATGGCTATCTCATTTGCACCGGAATCATCGCATAGATGACTTCACCCGGTATCGAAATCTGGGGCATCAGAAACCGCCTTTTCGCCGAAATTGACAAATGCACAGCTTGAGCAGGCTCGAAATGTGAAAATTTATCAATCCGAGGGTTTTTCACGCCGGATCCGGTCCGCAGCGAAACGGGCACCGGGAAATAATATGACTTTGGCTACGGTTATCAATAACCGGGCATCGATATTTTATGAAAATTGATACGCCACACACAGACTCACACACACAAACGCAGCGGGGAGGAAAATAAAAATAAATAATAATGGCCATTATTGCAGTTTATCCCATTCCGAATAGTTTCGCCCACTCGTCTGTTTGGATAGCGAGTCCTTTGAGTCCTTTCGGCGAGGCCACTCATAAGCGAACTAATCCGTCAAAATTTATTGCCAGCACCGAGGGGAGCCACTGTCGAGCCAATTGATAACGTGCGTGTGAAATTTATCAAATAAATTGAGGCCATAAATGTCAAAGCTGCGCATGATTCATACACAGACAATCCGAGGGCCAGGGAATCTCCTTATTAGCCAGCTTCCGTTGGCGAAGGATTCAGGGAGTCAAGGAGTCTCGGGTGCGGGTCCAGTCAGAAGTCAATCCCACATCGGATTAGCTGACAAATTTCGGTAATTTCCCAGTGAGACGAATTTATTAAAGTCCCATCAAAAGCCAAGCCGCGAATTATGATTGGCTCTTGATATTTATTCATTGCGATTTCTCATGTTTTCAGTTCACTAAATCAGTTAATAGGATTCATTTAAATTCTGTGAGATTTTACGAACAAATATTATGAATATCTAATTTCCTCACCCTCAGAATATATTTAATTTTGATTTAATAATGTTAAAAATAAATTGTATCTAAATTAGCAAGTATTAATATATTTTTAAATATTATTATTATCATCTGCACTCAGTCATAAGTCAATCGCTGAACTAGAGGCCAACAAATCTCTCGACTTCCAAGTGGAACAGTTATCTGCCTTTGCACATTTATTAAAAACCCATCAAACGTTAAGCCCACAAATTACGATTTGCATTCAGCATTCAGCTGGCGAAATTTCACCCACTTCCTTTCCCACCTCCAAGCCCATTTCCATCTCCATTCCGATTTCCATTCGGATTCCCACTCCCACCATTACGCGGCGTAATCAGAAAGCGTAGAGAACCGGAGTTTGGATTTGGGTTTGGGTTTTAGGTTCGGGATCCAGTTGGAGTTCGAGTTCCAGTTCAGTTCCGCGTGGCCATCATTATTCAGAATTTAGTTTACTTTTTGCAGCTCCGCCGTTTTTTGTCTGCCCGCTCTGTCTCCCCGACTCTGATTGCATATGAAAGAGGTGAACGCTTTTTCACGCTATTATTAAATTTGGTTATTTCGCTGGGATTTGGCGCGGGCGAGGTGAAGGCCCCGCGAGTCGGGTAATGACAATGCATGATGGCACGCCCTGATGGAATACCAATTGGACGAGGGCAGCACAGCGAGAAAAGATTCGAAAGATTTATCAAGACAAAGCTTTTTACTCTATTAAACGAATGAACGAAATATTACTAGCGAAATAGGAGA